TGGCCCTTACAAAACTCATAAAATGGACCAGGAGCTTGACCCACATCAGTATGTCTACCATAATATTCACCTCCTCTATCTGATCTTACAACTTTTATCTGACGATCAAGTTGTTTTTCAACTTCAGTTTTATAATCTTTAAAAGTTGTAAGTGATTCAGATTTTTCCTTAATGAGATACAAGTACATATAACGAGAATAATCATCAATATAAGTGATAAATGAGTTATGTCCAGTTATGCTAGTGATAGAGTAAGGACCACTAATATCAAAGTGAATGAGCTCTAATAAATTAGAACTCCTAGTGGCACCTTTCTTATTCACTGATGTCATTTTACCTTTAAGGCATTTGACACACGTTCCAAAATCATTGAAATCGAGAGATGGTAACACTTCATTCTTCACGAGTCTAGATAAACGTTCTCGTGAAATGTGGCCTAAGCGTTGATGCCACAACATGGATGAAGTTTCTAAGTCTCGTTTTCGTTTTCTCTTTGTTATTGTCTGATTGATATTATATGACAACAAAGATTTGGAAAAATCATCATCTAGTTCTAATTTATAGAGACCACCATCCAGAAAACCATGACCAAACACTTGAGAATTGAAACTAATAGTAAGTCTGCCATGACCATGAGAAACATCACAACCGTCTATGTCTAACTTTGGTCCTGATACTAAATTCCGAGTAATCTCATGAATATATAAGGTATCATAAAGTTTAATACATAAACCAGTTTTCATTATTAATTCTAAGGTTCCCACGGCTTCGACAGCTAGTTCTGTTTCATTCCCCAGCTTAAGTGTTCTTCGGTTTCTTTCCAGCTTCTGGATTGTAAGGAATCCCTGAAGTGAGTTGGTTACATGATCCATAGAACCAGAGTCAAACCACCATGTATTAGTTGGAACATTTAAATTAAAGGACTCAAGTATCATGTAAAGATGATTACCATTCTTCGTCAGCCACTCCTTAAAGTCTTGGCAGTCTTTCTGTCTATGTCCTTCATTGCGGCAGAACTTGCAGTAAGACTTCCCTTTGGAGTTCTTAGAGCTGGAAGAAGCACTTGCATCACGTTTCTAGACTTTAGAAACATCTTTCTTATCGACATTGCCCTTCCTCTTCTAACCTAATCGCCAGTACTCCATTCGGTGTAGTCCAAACAGGTCGAAGTCTGCGAGAAGAAGAACATGCGTGTATCGTTAGTTGAGTAAGTAGCTGGTGAACTGGAAGACCCACAACATCAACTGGAACTTTCGAAGTTTTCTACGTCCTTCTCTTCAGTAATACTTCACGTGGTCTTTTGCTTCACTGATCTCCATGTCGTTCATCATCATGATGTGCTCACGAATGCCGCTATTCCCATCATATTTTGTAGTCACCATCTTCAAAATAAGAGTACTAGCATGTGCCTTAGAAGTTGCTTTGAATTGTTCCTCCACGGAAGCCAGATATGTTTTAGCATTAGATGAATCTGGAATAGCTCCCCTGATGATTATGCTGATGGAATTTTTAATGACCATAAGAGCCATTCTGTTGCACCTCTCCCATCTCTCATGTACTATTTTATCTTCAGCAGTACTTTTATCAGTGAGAGCAGGAGGGGCAGGCTCTCTCAGTGCATAATCAAAATCCAACATGCCAAGAGTTAGCATCAGTGAATCTTTCCATGAAGAAAAATTCGCACCGTTCAAGGTTTCAATTCCCATATTTGGGGTTGATAGTGGATTCAGATGAGAGAAATAAGACACATAACTAAAGAAGAAATTAAGGTGTAATTAACTAAGGCTGGCGAAGATAAGGACCATTATATAGTAATGAAGCTGTGATAAGAGTCTATTATAACACCAAAATAATAGACTAAATTTAATTCTACTTAAACAAATGGCTTTCACTTTGGTTATGACCACTTATTTAAGTATTATGAATAATAAAATGATCATGTGCAATTTGAATGTTACACATCACCTTTGGGCAGAAGTGAAACATTTAAATTTTAATGCACATATATATTTAGTTCGCAGTACACAATTATAACACATCATCTTTGGACAGAAGTGAAATATTATGTATTTAAGGCGAGTGTCATGCAAATATCTATTTAAGGATATGCACTAAATGACAATGCTTAATTAGACTTGAAATAAATTTTACAAATGTTACACATCACCTTTGGGCAGAAGTGTACTCTAAGGTATTATTCAAGTCAAGCAAAATAAATCAATTTAACCAATCATAAAATAAATTTTATTTAAGATTAGTCAAATGATTTATAAGTTTAATATTAATAATTAATTAACCGCAAAAGTTATAGCGGTTCAGGGTGGGGCTACGAAAAATTGGGGACCCATTAAGATTAATTTAATTAGAAAATCAAAGGCATATAAGGCAAGAGATTTTCCAACAAGTAAAAAAAATTTAATTTTTTTTTAATGGTATTTTAGCATATCTCTTATTTAGTTTTGCTATTCTTGGTAAAGTAAATTAATAAATAAGAAAACAGAATATATTATGCAAAAGTGAGATATGCCATACAATTTAAGGAAACACAATTATATTCCAAATTAAATACCAAAATAAGATGATTTCATCAAAATAAGGTTGGAAACCAAATCTGTTTTTTTTCTTCGATTAAAAGCAAAACAGTTTTTTTTTTTTTGTGATTTCCGTGAAAAAAGATGTGATAAAAAAAATCATATAATGGAAAACTTGAAAACTGATTTTGACTTTTCCAACTTGAGATTCTGTTTTGCAGTGAATTATTGTGGAGACACCACTGATCCAAATCGGGAAAAAAAACAAGAATTTCAAAAGGAATTTTCACACAGTCGCCTTCCGATTTGAATTACAGAATTGAAAACATAAGGCCATAAGAATTGATTACGTAAGGGATATGGCAACAAAACATTAAACCAAAATCTCAAAGATCAGAGGATTTCGTCAGGGATAGAAAACTAATTTCCGATCCAATTTTATCGGATCTTTAAAGGGAAAAAAACAGGTAGTTTGGTTTCGGAAAAACGATAAGGATTGATTAATCAACATAATGCTCCGATACCACATGTTGATCAATTCTTAAACATAAAATATAAATTAGGGATTTAATCATGTGTACCTGATAATCCTATAAACGCAGTTAGAGATGAGGCCATGATTCTCACACAGATCGAGTTCCCTTTTAGGGTGTATTGTTATGATGGCTAAGGTGAGGGCGAGACTCACGAGAATAGAGAGGCAGAGAAGAGACGTAAGATTGGTGTGTTCTGATCTCTGTCTAATGACCTCTATATATACACCCAAGGGGAAACCCTAATTAGGTCGTAAGGGTAATTACGTCCAGCGAATAATTACCAAATAAATACGTAGGGTATTTATTAGGTCAATGATCAATAAATTAGATAAATGATAACTTAGGCCACATAATAAAATCGTGTCCAACAACACCATCATGGCGTTACAGGTGTACATGAAGATTTATGGTTGGTGTAGATACAAAATAGAGGGGGAAACCATTGAAGACATAATTGAGGACCTGAAAAAGCTCAAACCCAACAAATTTAGATGGAAGATTTTGGCTATTTTTGCAGCTTGTGTGTACGCCATTTGGAGAGCCAGGAATTGGAGGATTCATAAGAACATTTGCATTTTTGAAGAAGGAACAACTCAATGCATACTGTTCCATGTTAACACTTTCTTAAATTCCAAAGGAGCTTTGTGATATACTGTTGAGCTTGTCTTAGACTAGTTTCGATTCGTTGTATGATTTGTTAGAATAGGTTGGACTCTGTTGTACACATGATTGAGGTGTTTTAATATATTTTTTCTTTCGTTTAATTTCAAAAAAATGTGGCAGTGTACATGACTATTTTACTATACTTTTTGGTAATATACATGGTCATGATTAGTAATATAAATGCATTTTAACTCTTATTTCGAGAATAAAGACATGAAATTCCTATTTCAGAAATTTTTTCATTTTCAACTTTTGATGTATTTTTAAAATATGCATTTCAGTATTTTTTATTTATATATCAACCTTTAAATAAAATAAATTTTAAAAAATTGATATTTTATTTTGTTTTACATAATGTGACAAATATTTTGCTAAGATGGAACTATTAATTTTAAAATAAATATATTAAAAATTATACTCTATCAAACTCATAGAGTATCCTCGACAAGTATTAGATGCATGCTCTATTTTCTCTCATTATTCTATAATTAAAATTAAATGCATCTTTTTTCAGTGATCATCCCACATGAAAAGCACATAGGCTCATTTTTTATTTAAGAAGGGAGTACTCCGTATATACTAATTCATCCATGAGGCCCATGTGCTTGCGTATGCTCCCACCCCATGCTCTTTGGTTGGTCGGTGGGGGCTCATTATCACTCCCTCAGCCGACACCCACTTTCTTTTTCCTCTCTTTTTCATCCTCTCATTTTCTTCCATGTAATTTGTATAATCAAATCATATATGATTGATTATAATTTGTATAATCAAATCATATACTCTCCGTCCCCCAAAAAAGTTCTCCTTTCTTTTTTCATCTGACCTAAAAAACACTTCCTTATTTCTTTTAAAAAGTCATTTTTACCCCTACTAATTTTTAACCTACATATTACATCACACTTTTCCTCTATTAATCTATCAATCTCATCCTACTTTATATATTACATCAAAGGACATTTTTGGAAAGTCAACACTTAAATACACTCCCCTTAAATCCTTAAAAAGTCAAAATGAAAATTTTTTTAAGGGACGAAGGGAGCATGATTGATTATAATTTGTATAATCAAATCATATATGATTGATTATAATTTGTATAATCAAATCATATATGATTGGTTATAATTTGTATAATCAAATCATAAAATTTACATATTAAAAACTGTCTTAAATCCGCTATAAGTTAAATAGTAACATGATTATTTTATTTTAATAAATTATCAATAAAAGGAATTAAAGAAAATAAAAAATTGGTCCATAAAGACATGAATAGAATAGTGTTCGTGAATTTAGATTTCGGGGGAACGAGTTTTGTTTTTCAATTCATTCATTTATTTCGTATAATAGTAACATAATCAAAGAAACTTTTGTTTCGTACTTCCTTCATTCCATATTAAATGTTAATTATGATGTTTTAGATACATGTTAAATTAAGATAAGCACATAAAGACATAAAGAATGTCCACGCTTATTTATTTTACAATTTATTTAAAAAGTCATAGTAGATAATTTGTTCATATGAAACAGGAGTAATCTAACATTTTTATGTAATTTTTTAATATACTACATGTGGTTTTGGAAAGGTAGGTGAGTCATATGCTCCATAAATAGGCAAATGCAAGTACTTTAGACTGTATGTGGTATAAGGGATGAGGTAAAGGTGACGGGTTGGAGTGGCGGGTGCGACAGCATCGGAGGGGTGCGACCCCTATGCTGCATTGCGACCGCATGCATTCACCGCGCGACTTACTCATTTTTTTAAATAATCAATTACTCTGTATGAAATAACTCCTCACATATCACTTCCAATCATATCACATTTTTTTCCATCAGTGTACATTATATACTTTTATACTGCATCACTCATGTCATTCTTTATTTATATACTCCGTAATATTTATTCTTTGCCACTTATCTATGATCAAAATTTAATTTACCTTCTTTCAGGGTTTTAGTATAGGCATGAGCCCATCAGGTCAATTAGGGTTATTTGTGTTCTTTATATATTATAATTCTTCGTTATTATTATTCAATCAATCAATAATCAAGAATTCTCTTAATCTCGTATCTCTTTTGGAGCTCGGAAATGCTCGAAATTTTCCATCTTTCTCTACCTCTTCTTCCTGGAGCTTGAAGAACGCTCGAAGTTCTTCCATATCCGATAATATATTCGTATCAACTAACCGGTTCCTCAGAAATGGAGCTATTCTTTTTTCTTAATTTGTCTACCATACCGCATTACCGCATAGTCCTATAAAAAAACGAATCAGCATTATGAGAGGGAGGGAGTATTTAATAATCCGACCAATTCAAGGCAGCAGCATATTGGCACATGAATTGAACCTGACATCTATCTGGATGCATGAGTGTTTTGCATTATTCAATTCACCTACAATAAGAAAACGTAGCAAGCTAGATATACGTGAAGGAACCAATTCAACCAAAAGCTAAAACTTGTGGTTGTAGTTCAAGAACAGTTATTTACATTCATTAGATATCTATTTTTATGTGTTCGTGCTTATTAGTTTGTTTTTGTTAACTAATTTTTAACGTAAAAATTACTCTCTGTCCCTATTTTGAAATTATTTTATTTCCAAATTAGCATATCATTAAGAAATAAAAATTACCTTTTGAAAAACTACGTTCAAAGTTCTACATAACAAGAGATGACAAAAATATTTTATTTTATCAAATAATTAATAAAACACACAAATAAATAAAAGTTATTGAAAAGCGAGAGAAAAAATAAAATTATAATCAAAATGTAAACACAGAGAGTACTTGTTAAATTATTTATTGTAAAGTGACTTAAACGGGAGTACCAGCTAGAGATGAGTCATTTCAAAATATTAAGGATGATTATATAAACGATTTGGTCAATACGGAAAAACACAAAAATGAGCTTTAAAATATGTAGGTAAAAAAATACATTCAACAACTTTCTTAAAAATTAAAGACAAATTGTAAACAGATTTAACTTTTGTAAATAAAGAGAAAAACTCATTATATCACCCCCCCTCCTCCCATCTGTTCTAATAAAAGACTTCTTA